GCTGTGGGTCTCGGTTTCCCCACCTGCAGCATAGCCCTGATGATCTCAAGGGTTCTTTTCAGTTCTAAAATTCCTTGTTTCAAGCTCCTTGAAAACTCAAGCTCCATATGTGGTGGGTGGTTTTCTAGAGACCATGTTCTGGATGCACCAGGGGGACCAGTCTCATTTGGTTGACCTTTCTCCTTCTGTGTCTGTCATCTCTTATCTCCCTCGGGACTGCCAGGACAGCTCTCAGCAGTGCTGAGAAGTGAGACCCTCTGTCATCTCCCCCAAGGGATTTAGGAGCAGCTTGTCTTACACGAGGATGAAGGAGAAGGTCAGGGATTGAGTGAAGAGATGTGCGTGGTGTATGGCTGGTTGGGGAGATAGGAAGCAGCCTTGAGCAGACAGCTGGCACCACCAAGCTCCTTGTGGGGACTCAGGCAGCAACTCCCTGAGGAAGGATGGGGCTGGAGGGAGGAACGCACCAGCCTGCTGATCGTGGTGCTCTCTCCTGCAGGTGTGGGCAAGAGCAGCTTACTGTTACGATTCGCAGACAACACTTTCTCAGGTGAGTCTTCCCCTGGGTGCTGGTGGGACATTTGGATTTTGAAACCCCTTTCCCTGGCACCAGAACACACTGGCTTCTGCCTAATGTGGGGAACTTTCTCATTCTGGTTTTCAGAGGAAGGAAGAAGAGGGCTGGAGGCTTAGGTCAGAGGCCTCTGAGTTCCGCCTTAATCCATCTTGTTGAAAATCTCCTTTACCACTCATCTTTTCCCTGTCCAGCATCATCTTGTGTTCAACTTTTTTTTTTTAATTTAAAGTTAAAAAGATTTAGAAGACAGTCATGCTTAAATTAAAATAAAATTTCCAATAGGAAGGACTTACTAATGTGAAGAATACCAGTTGTCCCTGCACTTGCCCCTCTGCTGCCCCAGGAGCCTGTGTTTATGGGGGATGTACCTTTCAGCTGCTTTCGGATTCCATTCCTTCTCAGTCTACCAAAAGTGCTTCCATGTTGCTATGTGTGGACCTCCCTGGTTCCTTTTAGTGCTCTCAAGTTCGCTGCACTGTGCTTGGATGTACCATAGTTCATTACCAGTGCTCTTGTTATGTGTGTGGTTTCTGGTTTGCTTCTGTTTTAATTGATGCTACACTACTTGGGATACAATGTATATGTTCTTGTACATGCAGTTTCCATAGAAGTGGGGTTACTGGGTCACAAGGTATATACATTTACAATTTTCGTAGATAATGCCAACTTGCCTTTCAAAGAAGCTGAGATAATTTATAGTCCCACTGAAGGGTTTGAAAGTATCCCTTGTCAGCTTGATCAGGGCTTCATTTTTGTTAAACTGATAGACAGAAAGTGATGTAAAGTTTGAATTAGTATTTCCCTGATCACTGGTAAGGTTGAGCATGTTTTTGTTTGTTAAATACATCATGATACAGGGGCTTCAGGTTGGGTTGGCCTGCCTGAGTAAGAACTGAAGTGTGATTATCTTACAGGGAATTGCTCTGCTGTGTTTGAGGGCAAGCTACACTTAGGAAGTTATTACATGGCTAATGCCTCTCTCTCAGTGGAAAAGTGGAATTTTGCCCCTTTCCTCTCCCTGAGATGGCTCTGCAGCTCCGCTGGTGTTGGGGAATTGGAAAAAACTGGCTTCTCTCTGTTACCCTGATGTAGCAACTAAGCCTCAGTTCATCTGTGAAGTAGAAATTGTGGTTGTCCCTCTGATATAGATTGTTGTGGGATCTCCTGAGAGAGTGCACATCACAGTACTTGGAACAAAGTAATCACTGAGTACGCACCAGCTATTTGTGGTTGTCATTATCTTCTGTTCAAGGAAGATGATTACTGATCAACCTCTAGCTGTGCTGGAAAACATTCCTCTTCCTCCATGAAGTCCCTATAACTCCCCATCAAATCTGCTTTCCGCTCTTGGGTGACTCTTTTGCAGTCTCTCTTCTTTCTGAATGTGCTACCAGTAGCTTGGCTTTAAAGCGTTGGCTTTAGCTGGAGGCATCATATCAGCACTTGCCCTTGTCTCACGCTGCTGAATTCACTCTGCTACTCTCTGAATCCACACATCTCTGGCAGGTTCTTTTCTCTGTTTAGTAGCTGTGGTGACCCTCTCTCACCTGAACAGAGTTTATAGCAAGTTTCTCCACTTGGGGACTCTTCATACTTTGCATCTTGTAACTCTGTGTTGAGGGGCTGTCCTGTGTGTTGAAGGATTTTAAGCAGCATCCCTGGGCTAGATCTACCCAGCAAGTGGCCAGTTGCGTTGTAATAACCAACTTTTAAGTCTCCAGACTTAAAAGTCATTCCTGGTTGAGAACCACTGGTCTTTATAATCTGTTTCCAGCTTTCTTTCTCTTGTTGCTCATACTGCTTATTCTTTCTTTGGTTTTTAATTTTTTTCCCCCACTCATTCAACTACAAGGTGTTTTTTGAGTGCCTAACTGTGTGAGGACTCCGCATACCTTGGCGTTGTCCAAGACCAGAGGAGCACCAGGTGCATTCTGTTTGAGCTTTGATCTGTATCTTGCTTCACACGGTCATCTGTGTGTCTCATTCCCTACATTATGTTACATGGAGTGCTCCAAAGGGAGGGAGAACTTGTGTTCTTCTTTGTGGTCACCTTTGTGAGCCTGGACTGGACCGACTCACTGGCCATTCTACTCAAATCCATCTTTCACACAGATGCCCCAAGAAAGCTGCTTAACATGCAGCTCATGCCCCTGGTTAAAACCCTCACTGCCTCCCCATCGCACAAAGAGAGTCCAGATTCTCGAAAATGGCACAAAGGCCCAGAGACCTGGCCTTGGCCCTCCACCTGCTTCTCACCACAGGCGTGGCCTCACCTGCACCATTGCTGTTTTGCTACTGTCTCTCCTGCCCGGAGCAGTGCTTTTCAGACTGTGGTTTGGGTCTTGTTTGTGTTTAGGAAGTTAATTTTGTGGATCCTTAAATTCTTTTTAAAAATAGAATAGAAAAGAAAAACCCAGAGTGCATCACAGGTCTGGCCCTTTCTCAGGTTAGATCTGAATGTCCCCACCCCTGGCCAAACGAACAGAGTCTGTCCCTCTTCCCTCAGTACCATCCTAGATTTTATTTCCTTTGTAGCATTTATCACTGTGAATTGTCCTTCTCAGTTTCTTTCACTGTATCCTGTCTCACTTCCATTGTGGGGTCCCTCAGGGCAGGCCATATCTTACTTGGGTCTCTGGGGTCTGGACTTGGTGGGACACTCTGTGGGTGGGACAGTGTGAGACAGGGTCTCTGCTGGGCCTGGCTGATGTCGGTGTGTGTGCAGGCAGCTACATCACCACCATCGGAGTGGATTTCAAGATTCGGACAGTGGAGATCAACGGGGAGAAAGTGAAGCTGCAGATCTGGGACACGGCGGGGCAGGAGCGCTTCCGCACCATCACTTCCACGTGAGTCCCCGTCCCACTCCCACCTGCAGCCCCTGCCTCAGACACTGTGGATTTTTGCACAAAGTTGAGTAGAGTGCTGGTCGTAGAAATCACTGAGTGGCTCCCAAGGCTATAGGGAACTGAGCTCTTTGATGACCTCAGTGGGTGGGGCTTGGCTGTGCCCTTCCCCTTCCTGAAGATGTCAGAGGACGTGGGGAAGTGCTGTGGCTGCTGTGGGGTGGGCGGGCAGGCAGTGGCTGAGCACCCTGGCTCTGGTGTCCGGCAGGACAGTGACTATGTACCCTCCCCTTGGACACTCAGCTTTACCCTCAGAGTGGCAAAAACCATGGTGTTTGCCTTACCAGGTGTTTGTGACGTGCCAGGTCCAAGTGAACACTGAGTCAGTGGCAGTTCCTCTTGGCAGGTGTCCATTCTGTGCAGGCTCCCCTCACTCAGGCCGACTCCTCGGAGGTGGCTTTCTTGGGAGGTCTGGAAGAACGTGGGTGTGTGGGAGCCCCTTTCTCCCCGCAGAGCTTTGGCTGGAAAGTCGGTCTCTAGTGTGTCGCCCTCCCTCATTTGTCACCGCGGTGCCTTTGTGGTTCTCAGCTACAGACAGGAGAGAGCCAAGGCCTGATTCCAGGTCCTGTGCAGGGGCTCTCGGTTCTTAGGCTGTCGATGGGTCAGATTCCAGGAACGCAGGGCTTGAAGGCGAACAGTTTGAAATTTAAATTTCTGTTCTGCTGTGTGTCCTTGGGCAAGTTGCCTAAACTCTCTGGGTTTCAGTTTCCCATGGGGTTTATTTTTAGGATTTGTTTGAATGTTGGGACCTGTGTCCGGATCCCCTGCTTTGAGCTTTTTGTGGGTCACCTCCATTAATTCTCCCATAATTCTCTATGCTTGGTGCTACTGCTATCCTCATTTTACAGAAGTGGTCTGCTTCCAGTGATGGCAGAGCCCTGGTTCTACAGTGGGGAGGCTGCCTTCACCCCAGGGCTGTTCCCCTGAGAAGGCGGGGAAGGCTATGAGAAAGTTCCCTGGCCAGAGACCCCTGTCTTCCCTTCAGCATGGAAGCAGGGTGGAGCCATGCTGGTGCCATCCCAGGCTCTTCAGGAGCTTCTGAGGGTGGGGAAGTGAAGGTGAAGCACCCGCGCAGTGGCAGCTGGGAGTGTGGGCAGAGCAGGGCTACTGGCTGGGCAGGAGGGGCAGTCACTTTGCCCTGTGCTGAGCACATGAATGTCATAGCCCTGAATGACTGAAGCTCTGCGGGTTCCCAAACCTGGGGCTGCCTGGGCACAGTCCTGCAGGACGCAGTGATTGAGCTGCCTGAGTGGGGGCTGTCAGCCGGTGTCCCTACAGTGTAGTGAGGACTTGGGGAGGGCTAGGTGTCAGGATTGATGTTGAAAACTTTGGGTCGCCTGGAGCCTATAGGCCCATGTACGAGCCCCACATGGGGCATCAGGGTTACCAGGTCTGGCCACTTACCTCACTTGTCCTTACTCTGGGCCAGGAATGTCGCTAGGTCATCACCAACTTTATTTCACTTAATGCCAATGAAGAAGTTTGTGATTATCTTATTATTGTTATTATTATTATTTTGGTGGTACTGGGGATTGAACCTAGGGCTTTGTGCATGCCAGGCACACGCTCTACCAATGAGCCATATCCCCAGCCCCCTGGGATTATCTCCATTTTATGCACAAGAAAACATGCCCAGAGAGGGCAAAGTGACATAGCTCAGTTTCTTAGGATCAGAACTGAGGCCCATCTGATGCCAAAGCTCAGGCCTCTACCTAGTTCATGGTCTTGTGGCCCCCCAGACTGGGCACAGCTCCTCCTTCAGTGTCTCCCTTCTGGGTTTAAAACCAGTTGGGGGCTTCAGGGCAGCAGAGATAATAGACCTGTGCCCTTGGGAGATGCTGGGGGCTGGGAGCTGGGCCCTGGGGCGTCTGAACCCTTCCTGCAGCAGAGGCTCCTCCTGCTGCTGCTCCCCTGCCACATAGTCACTTTTTTTCGGCACTGGGTGGGGTGGGAAGAGGGACTGGCTCCTCCATTCTCTTGGGGAGATTTTGGAGGGGTCGCCCAGCTCCTGGGGCAGTGTGTGTTTTTTCCAAGGTGCTTGGGAAAGTGGGTGACTGCGTACTGGCAGCCTTTGGGCGCTGGCTAGTCCCTGGTGTCTGGGGATGATAAAGGTTGTCCTCATTCAGGGTTCCTTAGCCCCTGAGGTGGGAGGCATGCAGGGCCCACCCAGGGGCCACAGAGACTGTGCCTTATGATGGCGGTTGACAAAGAAGGAAGGAGTAGGGAGGGACAGTCAGGGTGCAGAATCATGACCTTTTTTGACCTGGGGCATTGGAAGAGAAACCAAAATTGCATCCTGTGACGGATGCTGAGGTTTGCTGCCCCTGAGAGGTGTGGCTGGGGGAGGGGTGGGATGGAGGGAGGAAGTAAAGAGGAAGAGGAGCCCTGGTGCTGGCCCAAGAGTCAGACCTGGGGACCAGGATATCAAGCTGGACATTCCACTCAGCCTTGGAGTCCTCACTGGTGAGATGGCTGTCCTGACACCTGTTGGGCTATGTTGTTTGCAAAGATGAACAAGGTGGTGGATGCAGAGTGCTCAGCCCTTGCCTGGCCTGGGCCAAATGTCTGCTGCTGGGACATGATTCCTGCTGGGCAGCGATTCCCACCGTGTGGGAGCCCAGAAGCACCAGAGCCCTGAGCCCAAGCTCCTGCGGAGACCAGAGCTCCACTCAGATTGAGCCTCTTCCCTGGGCCCCAGGGCCGTTGAGGTTCCCAGGAAGCAGCAGGGGTTTGTGCTGGGGCCATGGCTGGAGGCATTTCTTGGCATCTTAGCCGTCTTGGGCAAAGGAGGTTTGCAGAGGCTGCTAGCGCTTCCTCTGCTGGCAGGGAACAGTGGCCTGTCTTCATGGTTCCCGGCAGGCACTCCTGCACCCGCCCTGGAGGCGTCCACCAAGCTGGTTGGTGTGCTGAGCTGGCACGGGGCTGCTGTAGGGCCAGGGCTGGTTCTTGGGCCCAGAGCTGAGACAATGGGATTGTCAGGCTTCCTCAAAGCCAACGAGCGCTGCACCCTGGACAGAATGAGGCGTCCTGGGAGATCTCCTGGGATGTCTGGGGGGTGGAGACAGACAGCAGACAGGACCCCAAGCATGGTGGAGGCTCCTCTTCCAGCAAGCTGTCTCTTGGTTTCCTGCCACCTCTATCTGGGGCCCCAGATTGCCATGGAGATAATAAAGAGCACCCCAGTGTTCACTCTGTCCTGCTCCCCAGCCCTGTGGTGGTGTGTTAAGTGCCTATATCCCCATTTCATAGCTGTGGAAACTGAGACTGTGGCCGGTGGAGCTAGGGTTACTCTTTGTCCTCAGACTGGCCATGAATGTGAAGGCTTCTCAGCTGGTGGGCAGCAGGTGACAAGCTGTACCCACCACCTGTCTGCTGCACCCTTTCTCAGCCTGTGCATCCTGTGCCACCTTAGAACCAGGGCTTGGGAAGGAGTTGCTTTCCAGGTGTGCTGCAGGAGCATGCAGGTGCTCAGGGCCAGGCAGGCGGCTGCTAGAAGGTCGGGAGGAAGCAGCCTGTCCCCTCAGGGTTTGTCTCCTGGGTGTCGTAAGAAGCCCCCAGTGACAGAAAAATCTCTGCAGCTTTGGGGAGGGGAGCTGCAGAGGGACACTGTTGGGGGTTACATAGTGCTGGGACAGGGTGCTTCCTGTCCTCTAAGGCCAGGGTTTCAGGGAAGTGTGAAGCTCCATCCTCTTGTTCCACGGTCTTCATCGTCCCCTCGACTGTTAGTGTGAATGCGGCTGCTTGGTCTGAAGGTCCCTACCAGGTGTCTGGAGAGGAACGTTGATACTGTTCTTCCTTCCAGACCTGACCAGCTTGGGGCTGCATGTTGGGTGGTGGTGTAGCTGGCCTCCCTTCTAGGCACCCTGGTGCCCACGCAGCTCCCACACTGTCCCTGCCATTAGAATGGATAAGCCAAGAGTGGCAGGAAGGGAAGTGCCACCTGCCCCTGAGGGAGGGGACACAGATATACCAGGGCTCATGAATAGTGCAGCTTCTTGGATTGGCATTTTACTAAATCAGATTTGAGGAAGGAAAATTTTTTGAATGTTTAAACAGGGATAGTGATAACATGATGTCAAATACAAAAATTGTCTGAATTCTAAAAATAAAAGGAGAACTTTGTAGAAGTTTCCAGCTGGTGGCAGACTGAGTCATCTGGGGTGACTCTTTTGACCTGGTCTGCCACCTCAGGGCCAGCCACCCCTCCTCTGCTAGTACCCTGGGGACAAGTGTGAGGAGCCTATCCTGGCGTGGGCATGGTGGCCAAGGCCAGGTGCACAGCCCAGCTGCCGAGTGCAGGAATGACCGCTCTCCCCCGCCACTGTCCTCTGCTGTGGGCAGGCAGGTCATCGGGTCATAGGGACGGTCATAGGGATGGGCTGAAGCCCTGACATACACCTTGGCCTTACAGGTATTATCGAGGGACTCATGGGGTCATTGTTGTTTACGACGTCACCAGTGCTGAGTCCTTTGTCAATGTCAAGCGGTGGCTTCACGAAATTAACCAGAACTGTGATGATGTGTGCCGAATATTAGGTGAGGCTGGGGACTGTGGGGTGGAGGGTGGCAGGAGGTGGCCTTACAGGGACGGCTGACTCTGCCTTGCCTTGAAGTGGGCAATAAGAACGATGACCCCGAGCGGAAGGTGGTGGAGACGGAAGACGCCTACAAGTTTGCTGGGCAGATGGGGATCCAGTTGTTTGAGACCAGTGCTAAGGAGAATGTCAACGTGGAGGAGGTGAGTCCCTGGGGAGCGGGAGAGGTGGCCCTGCTCAACCCCCACATCCCTCTCCTCCCCCAGCTTGCTCACGGCCTCTGAGTGAGCAGTGGAAACATTATAGTGACTGACGTCTGTCGGGTGCTTGCTGGGTGCGGGCCCTCAGACGGTCTTAGCTGGTGTCTCTGCAGTCCTCTGAGACAGGTACCACATCTGCATTTCTAATCGGGGAAACCGAGGTTCCAGAACATCACTCAGCTAATAAGAGGCTCAAACTTAGATCTGCCCACCCCTGGTCCTTCCCTCACCCCTCCACTGTCAAATCATTCTGCTCTGGCTTTCCTGGGGACCTAGTTCCTTTCCTGTGGCTTCCAGAGCAAGCGGGGCTGGCTGGCCACACCATGGTGGGGAACACAGACTCCTCAGAGTCAGGCCAAGACCCCAATCCTAGAGCCACCCTCTGTGGTCTTCATTTGTTCATCTATAGCTTGAGGGGAACGTGAGCCCTGCCTTGCAAGGATTGAGTGAGTCGAGTCATGTCGAGTGCTTAGCATGAAGTATATGCTTGGCAGACGCTGGCTGGGCTTTTTCATGCCTTCTGCTCCCACCACTGAGGTCGCTGTTACCCGCCTTTCTGGGCGGAGTGGAGAGGACTGTGCACTGGTACATGGAGCTTCACTGGACCCTGGCACTGAAATGGTGTTGGGAGGTCCGGGAAAGTTTCGGGCAGGACCTCGGGGCCCCACGTACCCTGAGGTGGCATGGGGCGGGCAGACTGGGGTCCCCTCCTGTCTGCTTACAGGACAGGGCAGCTCTGTGTTGTCAGAAGATTCCAGCTCCAGAAGAAAGGGGTTCTCCTGTCAGTGGAAAACCCCCGAGAGTGACTTCCCCTTGTTCTCACAGTTTGTGGGTCTTTAGTGTCCCTGTTGACCTTTCAGTAGTCCACCTCCTCCTCCTAGAAAGGGTTTGGAGGACACTCCTGCCAAGCCCTTCACAAGCAGAAACAAAGCTGGGCCTGGGGGGCAGCAGTGCCAGCCTGCCCGGGCCTCCCACTGGGTCTGGGCTAGTCCTACCGTGTCGCCTTGCAGATGTTCAACTGCATCACAGAGCTTGTTCTCCGAGCAAAGAAAGACAACCTGGCGAAACAGCAGCAGCAGCAACAAAATGATGTCGTGAAGCTCACGAAGAACAGTAAACGAAAGAAACGCTGCTGCTAATGCCCCTCAGGCCACGCAGAGACTGCACTGCGGTCCCTCCCCGAGCCCGAGGCCTGCAGGGGTCCTCGGGGGACAGTCTCAGTTTCGTGCCGTTATTTAAAGAATTCTCTCCACGTTTTTTATTGGGAGGCGCCATCGGCACTTCCTCCCCTTCCCTCTCGAGTGCCAAGAAGGTGTTGGACGAGCCCGCCCTTCCCACTGGTGCCCTCCTCCCTGCTGAGGCGCCTGGACCTGGTGAGGACGCTGCCAGCCAAGCGGACTGATTAACCAATTTGTACATAGTGTATATTGCTTTAACCAGCTGCACACCCTTGTTCTGCTCTGGCCTTGGCCTCCTTAATGCCACCTGTTGCAACAGACCCTCCCCAGCCCTCCCCACCGCCAACAGCTTCCTGCGGAGGCAGCGTCTCCTTCAAGCTGCGTCTGTGGCCGACCTGGGCTGGAGTGGGCTCTGTGTTGCTCACTCTCCTGCAGGTTGGTGGCTTCTGTCCCTGCCATGCAGGCTCTGACCTCTCTCCAGGGTCTGTGCCAGCTGTTCTCCTGACCCTACAATTGCTCTGGGAGCTGGGGAAACCTGGCCTTGAGGCAGCCCTGCCCTCTGCTGGCCCCATGCCTTTGGTTCCACAGAGGCAGGTAGTCTTGGCCTCTGGCTGCTAGGTTTCTTTTCCTGCCTTCTAGATGCCTCTGGTACAAACCCAGAGGTGCTGTGTCTTCTTAGAACCCACATGTTTCTGTTCCAACAGAAAGGTAGGGGTGTTTGTGCAGAGATGGGGCTTTCAGGGGGCTATAGGAGCATTATTTTAACAGATAAAGAATATGAAGCCAAATCAAATGAATCAAGTTCCTCACAATTATTTTCTTTCCCTGAGGTTTGATTGGCACAGCAGCCCAAGTTGTGGCTGTCCCACTTTGGGTCCAGTGTTCTTATAAAAAGCAAATGGCTTTCTGTCCTTGTGGGGCTGGGCTCCTAGCCCTTTCTTGGGAAGAGCCAGAAGTCTATGATACAGCACCAGGCACTTCTGGATGTAGGGGGTGGGCACTGGGGGCTGCTGAGTAATGGGAAGGACACCTCTGAACTGGGCCAGGAGACCTTGGATCACTGACGTAACTGTTGTAGTATGAAGGCGGTAGGATTGCTTAGCAGATGGCAAGGATGGTAGCGGTGCTGGCTGGGGCAGCCAGTTTTGATCTACCCCAGTCTCCTGGTGAAAAGCCAGGGTGTCTGCATTTGATTATTGCTCTCCCCTTCTGTGGGACACATCATTCCCCCTTCCCCTAAAAGGATCACGTAACCTGGGAAGAATTGATTTCAGCATCATGAAGTGTTTTATTAGATTTCCTTTCCTAGGCGATTTCCAGGTAAAGCCCTGATTGGACAATCACATCACAGATCACACTGCAGATTTTCCGTGTTAACACTGTGGATGGGTTTTTAATCAATAAAAAATGGGGGTTTCTTCTCACCTGTCTCTCCACTTGTCCAAACCGCCAAAAGCTGGGGTTCCATGGCAGGCCTTTGCTTTGGAGCTGCAGGCTGGGGTCATGGGGCCATGGGTGGTAGAGGCAGGGGCTGTGGAGGGTGCTGCAGGCAGCCCCATCTGGCTGGGGTAGCTGGGAACAGAAGTGGGGTCTCTGCCCTCAGGACTGTCCTGGCTGACCAGGAGCCTGTGGCCCAGGGGTCATACTTGCCTCTGAGCACTCAGGTGAGGCTGTATGGAGTGCTTGCAAACTCAAGCAATAAGGGTGATCCTGCGAGCTTCCAGCCCAGGACAGAAGCCGCAGTGGCTTCTGGCACCTGGACGCCCAGATGCAGGTGGTGGGTTAATTTTGGTGACGACAGTGTCTGTCCCATTGAGTGTCACACGCATGAACGGGATGGGGGGGGTTGTTGGGTGGGGGTGGGGGACTCAGGGCTAGACCGTCGTCCTGGTGGACCTGATGTGAAATTCCTGTCAAACAACAACTTTTAAATGGTTTGCTAGGATTATTTCTGTATTGAAAGTTTCTAATTATGCTTTTTAAAAAAAAATCACTAAAAATAAAGGTTCAAGCTGCCAAATTTTCTTTCAGGGTCTTTTTGCTCTGCTCTGAGTGGGCCTGGCTTCTTCCCACCTATTATGTCCAGCTCTTGTACTTAGCCTGAGTCTTGTGCAGGTGTCAAGGCCCTGGGACACTAAGAAGCCAAGTCCATTTTCTCCATGAGCAATTGGTCCAGGGTCGAGCATCAGTCTGGATGGAAAGCACTGGCTGGGAGCACTCGTGGGCAGGTGCCAGGGGAGGCTCCGTGTTTATTCTCCACAGGCCAGGACACAGTGGAAGCTTTTGCCTGGAATGATTTCTCTGGATGTTTTCTGCCAAGCCCCAGGGCCCTGTTCTCAGCCTGGGAGCAGTGCTGGCAGGGCTGTCTGGAGTCTGCACACTGGAGTTCTGGCGGGGAGCCCACACCTGATGGAAGAGGCGCAGGCCAGGCCAGGATGCCACACCTTCCAGAAAAGGAGCCCCTTCCAGGCTCAATCCATTGATGGTATCAGAGGGCAGGAGGTGGCCTCCCAGGTGTGGGCCCAGCCACTGCTACTCTTCATCAGCAGCCAGTGGTGGTTCTGAAGAGCAGGCCACATTTGGACCAAATGACCCTCCACATACCCAGTGACTGAGGCAGAAAGCTCTGTAGAAATCTGTTTTATTCTTATTCAGACTATTTTCAAAAGAAGCAGTGGTGCGGTTTTTCTAAAAATATGCCTTTATAGATTTATATATATTATAAAATCCATACATGTATTTACATGTTTGCTACATACAAAATTACAGCACTGTGGTATGTACATATCTATAGGTACATTCTTTCTGCTCATCCCTGCTGTGCTTTTCCCCTGGAGCGAGGGAGACTGAATCAGTGGTAAGCAGCTGAGGGCAGGCTGGGCCTGAAGAGCCTCGAGTTAGGGCCTCAACAGAGACAGTAGGGTGGCTGCTGTGGAAGGAGCAGAAGCAGCAGGGTTAGGCCCTGGCCCTCTGCAGGCCCGGTGGACAGTATGTGGAGGCTCCCAGTAGCCTCTCTTACACCCATGGTGTTAGTGCTGCCTTGGAGGAGGGGGTGGCTGGCCATACCCCTGTGAGGACATTCTGTGGCCAGGACTTGCTCACCTGGGCCAAGAAATTATATTTGAGGGGCAGGAGGCTGTGGAAACAAGATGAGCCCTCTCAGCCCTGGGCCTTCCACGAAGAGAGGACTGGACCACTAATTGATGCCTGTCGCCAACCAGTGAGAACGCCATCTGGCCCAGGCCTCGCTAAGGGTAAAGGACTACTCTGGAGAAGGCTGGGGAGGAGAGTTGGCGGTGGCCAGGGGGCAGGGCCCTCCTTCCTCCCTGGGGCTTAGGATGGCCTCAGCCGAGCTTGGGTATACCCCAGCTCTTAGGCTCCTTGGCCGAAGGCTGGGCCTCCTGCCTGCAGAGGGGCCCCAGCAAAGGTGCATGCACATGGGTAAGGGGCCGCACTTCCCCTTACTCTGGGCCAGTGGCTGGGGCAGGAATGGAGGCATAGGCCGGGCCTGCTGCTCTGCAGGACTAGGCAGGCCCCCGAGGCTCATGCCTTCCAAGGCATGCAGATGAGGGCCTCCGTTTCTTCTGTTGCCCATTATCTAAAATTGCGGAGGCAGCAGTGCCTGCCAGGTGGGCTGAGAACAAGCGGGTCTGAGCAGCAGAGCCCAACCCACAGGCTGCTCTGGAAGGTGGCCTTACCCCTGCTCGATAATGGGATCCTGGGAGCCCAGGCTTGGGCTTGGCTAGAGCAGCTTTCAGAGGCCAAGAGGCCCCTGCCTCTTGGTCTATCCACACTGACAAAAGGGAGTGGGTTCTCTGGGACCTATTGGGCCCCAGTGTGGGCAGGCAGTGCAGCTCCCCTAGGCCACAGGGGAGGCCCTTGCTCACACTGCCTTCTAGCTGCTTCCAGTCTGCCTGTCCTCCGTGGCCGACTCCTCCCAACTTAAATTTTCCTGAAGAAAGAGAAGAGCCGTTTGCCTTCAGTGGTGCCGGGCTCATCGCCCCGCCCTGCACCGTGGCCCCTGGAGACGGCAGCAGCAGGCTGGCTCCGTTCCTTCAGGTGCGTGTCCATCAGTTGCCGGTCAATGACCCTGTGCATGTCATCCTGCAGAGGGGGAAAGTGGACGGGGCTGAAGGTCAACGCATGCCTGGCCCTGAGGGTGTGCAGGGAGGAGGCCAATGTTGGGATGAGAGATGAAGATGAGGATGAGGGTGAGATGAGTGAGCAGCAGCGGCTAGGGCTGCCGATCAAGAAAGCAGTGAGTGGGCACGATGCCAGGATACACGCAGGAGCCACCTGGCGATGTCTCCTCGGGGCTTGAGCTGGCTTCTCACCAGTGTCCCCATGCCACTCCCTTGGCTGATCACTCAGATGCTGTCACAAAAGGCCCAGAGAACCATGTAGCTCTCACAGCACACGCAGCCTCCCCGGTGACCAGCACCTGTCTTGCCTCCTGATCTGTGGTCTGGTTTGTTGGCCCCACGCTCAGAAGGCCCAGGGGAACCTGAGTGTGCCACTCTCCAGCCCAAAGCCTGGCCTCAGGGGGCTTCTGCCATCCCTCCTGCCTTCAAATTATTTGCTGCCTGGGCTGCTGATGCCCAAACACTCCTGGCAGTCCTCACCCCACCACTGTGCCATGATATGCCATGATGCAGTGCCATGATGCTCGTGGCCTTCAGGGCTGTCTGTGCCCACTCTGGTCCAGTTCCATTAGCTTCTTTCCCAGGGTCTGACCTTATCCCTTCTAACTTTTTGGCTGCCCAGAAACTACCCCTGCCCTGTCCTACACAGCAGCACCTTTTATTCCACAGAGGCTTCTGGACAGAGTAGTTCCGCTCTTTCCATTCTAGTTGATCTGATTCTGTGTAAGATCCCACCTGACAAAAGGGCTCTGTCATAACATAGTCCGACAACTGCTGGTAAGACACATCTGTGGTCCCCTGCAGTCATCATCGGCAGGAAATTGAACAAGCATCTTGGTTCCTTCAGCCTGGAACCCGGCAGTGGCTCGGATGTGCTGTTGAAAAGGCCCTGAGCCCTTCGAGTCAGCCACTGGCTTCTAAGCATGGGCAGGTGAGGCCGGGGTTCTGGTGGGGCCCCTCCAGGGGGGCAGATGACCTCTGCAGCTCTCAATAGCCACTAACAAGATAAGGGTAGGAAGTTGGGATGTCTAAGCCTCTGCCTGACCAGCCTGTCCCTCACCTGTCTCACCCAAGCTTCCACCTGGAGATGTCACTCAAATATCTTCAGGTTTCAGGGTGAAATGAAGGGACCTTCCTGTCTTGTCACCAGGTGGTGGTGAGTACTGACCTAATGTGTTGCACCCTGACCTCCTACCCACATCCCCAGTCCTTCCTGGCACCTCTCCTGCTCGCCTCCTGCTCTTGCCTCCTAGTCCACACCTTTCTACTCATCCCTCAAATCGGAACTGGGCCAGGTATTTGCCAACACGTGGCTCCTACCTCCGAGGCCGGGTGAGAACACCGCACCCTGCATTTAGGACGTGTTCAGTAAGATTTCTTTTTGGTCCCAGCGATGGAACCCAAGGTGCATAACAACTGAACCACATCCCTGGCCTTCGAGCTTCCCATCCTCCTGCCTTAGCCACCCAGGTCACTGGGATTACAGGCGTGTGCCACTGCACCTGGCAAAATCTATGCTTTTAAATACAACAGAGGAATGTTAAAGGGTCCTTCAAAAAGGATCCATTCAAAGCTACCAAAGTTTTTTTTCTGGCACATTCATTACAAACTGCACTTTTATACTCTAAGCAACCCAAATCGGCTCACTAATGCCACGAAATGGATCTTGGAACTTCACAGACACTCACGTGCTGCTCATAACTCCACACCTGCTGCCGTTTCTGGGGGCAAAACAGTCCTCTACAACGTGGTAACACTGAGAAACCAGGCCAGCCTGTCACTGTTGGCCACATGCTGAGGAGCTTGCTGAACATGATGGTGATGGGAGGAGGGAGGCTGGGGCTCGATGACACGTTACACTGCACAGAGATGATGCCAGGCTCCAGCACACAGAACACAGTGGGCCACAAGAGGAGGTGGCAGGGGCAGGACAGCAATGGCAGTGGAGAAAGGGCAGGTGGGATACAGGGCTCAATCTCACCTCAAAGGCAGGAGGGGTGTACAACTAAAGCTGTTGATACGGGAACTGAGAAAGGCCACTAGATCAGAAACCAAAGGAGCCAGATAGTAAAAAGCCCTGAGGAAGCAAACTGTAGCCAGGAGAGAAGAGAGAGAACAGTGGCGGTAAGCTGGGGCTCAGCTGGCCAGGAGCCAAGGGGCCAGTGACCAGCACTCTGTGGAGCCAGGGTTAATGCGACTAGCCCCACAGGGACCTGAGAGGAAGGATCACTGCTAACCTGCCCTCCAGAGGGGCTCACTCAGGTAGCTCTGCATCCATCTAGTGGGGATTGAGGAGAAACATCAGTGGCTATGCCACTGTCATGCTAGCCAGGTCATCAGTGCAAAGCCGGTCACAGCCTGGCCCCAGGGAGCTGCACTGGACCCTGAGAATGGTGGTCCCAGAGACAGGGCGATTCATTCTTCCCAGTGCAGCTGATGCTCTTTGGGAAAGGGGCGCCGCAGGCCTTTGAGGAGGACCGAATCCAGCTGTGAATCCGCATCCCAGCACCTCCGTGTTAACAGCTGTTTCTTTCTCTAGTTTAAACCACGCCCAAAAGGCCAGCTGAAATAGGGCCTCTTTCCAGGTGTGGGGGGCACTACAGCAGCAGCCTGGGGTTTGCCACTCCCAAAAGCACCCTCAGGAATTATCCCCAGGAAATGGGAGCACAAGAACTCTGGGTTTCTTCAGGTAAAGTTGGGGGTTCGCCCAGTTGTGTGGGACCCTTACATAGCAAACTGTCCTTACACTATGCTCCATTCAAAGACCCTCCTGAAGTCTTTTGCCCTGGGGCTCAGGTTTTTGTTCTTTTTTTACCTGCCAGGCCTCAAGCTGCTGGGAGAGGTTCAGTTTCTGCTGAATGGCGTCCAGCAGCTGGCTGTTCAGAGACATCATGTCCATCCTGCACTTGGCAAGTTCCAGCTCCACGGCATTCTTCCTGAAAACAGACACCAAGAGTGAGCCCACCAACACCCTGTGCCAGCCGTCCTGGGGATCTGGAGCCCTCAGGGAAAGGAAGCCCCCTAGCCGTGGGGGTCTGCAATGTGCCTTCACACATATTCTGTTATAACCAAGCTGCAGGGGAAGGGATGATTTGTCAACTCCATCTCACAGGTGAGAAACAAGGTTGAGCGCAGTTGAGAAGATGACATTTAGATGAGGACAGAGCCCAGAGGGAAACCAAGGACTCACATGGCACCAAGGAGCCACTCATCTGCCCCTCGAGGCCAGGGCCTCCTGGGGGGTGAGGCTCTTGACCTCCTGGCATGGAGAAGGTATCCCTTTAACTAAGTACTCTTCCCTTAAGGGAACTGTCCCAAAGTTACGGATGTGTGCAAAAGTAGCCACACAAGGACACTCATCATAGCTTGGTATCTGACGACTGGGAACTGGTAAAAAGGAAGATGGAATAGAGTCACCAGTAATAGTCACTATGAAACAGGGTATTTACGGACAATCACGATGTTGCTCTTGGAAAAAAGATCCAGAAAACAAGTTCTAGGTTTGTGAACTAAAAATCCCCAGCCAGTCGGAGGACAGACTCATAACCCTTGCTGGTTATCTGGGTATCCATCCCTGATGATGACTCCCCAGTCTTTCACATTTTCACATATCCCATATTTCGCGTGTTACTTCGTTTTCCTCCCTGAATATTCCTAAATTACAGCTGTTAAATGCTGGAGGAAATTAATCCTGGGGTGGGCGGGGATGGGAATAAAAGCGGAAGGGAGCCAACGGCAGCCTCTGTAGAGGAGGCACCGATTGCCCAGCCATGGAAACGCGCTTCATTCAGCTCTTGCCACGTCTCCCACTCCCTCAAGTACTCAAGTGGCAAAGCTCAGGGTCCTTGCTGTACACGGCGCAGGGCTCAAGGACAGTGAGAGTATCGCCTGCAGAGATGGCGGGCTCCCCTGCTCCGAGACACTGTCTGCACTAGTGGCAGCCGGCAGGAGGGGCAGGTGGGTCCTGTTTAAGCGCTCAGGTCACCGCTGTGACCAGCACTTCCTCTCTGGCCTTCAGTCACCCACCCACCTTCCCTAGAGATGCGGCTTCGGGCGACAGTGCCCGCCAGCCCCGCCCACTGCGGCTGCCGACAGCCCGATAGGATCTGAGCTTGCCCAATGGGCGTGGGACTCGAGGCAGTTCGTCACGCCCCTGCCACTGGCTGGCGGTGAACAGTGGAAATCCTCACGTGGAGCCGGTTGCCATGGACGCTGGCCGTGCCGCAGTCCCAGCCAGAACGTCAGCACGAATCCTGGGCTGGGCTGGGCTGGGGAGTGGAGGCCTGAGCTTCCACCGGCAGGTGGCACCGTGTGCAGCCGAGCCCCCAGGAATGTGCTGACTAATGCCGCTGCAGGGTCCGATGGCCGGTGGTGCGCCCCTAGCGGGGTCTTCTGGCCTCCGTAGCCCAGGTTGGCTCGCTACAGAATCGGGGCTTGTCATCCATGAGAAGCCCCAGACCGGGAGAGCACAGCTACAGAAGTCGCCCACTGATCAACATAGTAATCCTTTTTTACAGAGGAATGTTTCCAGGTCGAGAAGGGTTCCTTTGTTTATGGAACCACTAGCCGCGCGGGTGGTGCTCGCCTGTAACCCCGCGGCTGGAAGGCTGAGGCAAGAGGATCACAGGTTTGAAGCCAGCCTCAGCAATTTAGCGAGACTGTAAGCAAACTAGTGAGACCCTGTCTCAAAATAAAAAATAAAAAGGGCTGCGGGTGTGGCTCAGTGGTTATGTGCCCCTGGGTTCAATCCCTGGTACCAAACTATAAAACCCACTAGTACCTCTTTTGTTTTTGTAAGGCAGATTCCTAGCCCAAGAATTACTTCTGTTTTTAGGGAGGGCCTTTCACCTCAAATTATTTAACTTTCTTGAAACCTATCTATTGTATAGGATAAGATACACTTTAAGGTTCCTACAACCCAGTGAAGAAAGAGGCGTTATTTTTCTTAGGGATTTTCATCCCAAAGTACACTTTACTCACTGGGTAAAGTCACCCACTACAGGAATTCAGACTTAACTGTTCGGGAGGGCTGCCCTGGTACCTGCAGGAGATTATTCTGATGTGCAGCCAGTGTGGAGAATCCGAGGTAATGTACATGAAAGCATTCTGTAAACCAAGGTCCTAATCAATATGGGTGTGATTTCCACCTTAACTGATTCCTTCTGCCTGTTGTCTCAATTCTTCTCATACCAAGATTTTCATTTCCAAGGAAGAGAAAATGAACTAACCTCCCCGACTCCCCACACAGTGGTCTATCACTCTCCCTTCCCAGCTAAGCCCTGCCTACAGGGGTCCAGGAAAACTGAGCCCTCACTCCAGAGTTCTTGTGGGGCAGGGGGAGGTTTCATCCTTCCAGGAAGGAGCACTGCAAATCTGGTGGAGCTCCAGAATGCTAGCTGGGCCTCCCTTAGTGGCAGGCAAGGGTATGTAGCACAAGATTGGGTAGCTGCCCCTCCACTTTCTTTTTCTTTCCGAGGACTAGACAACTTTCTTCTTCTCTCTTGCACCTCACACTTTCTCTGGTTTTCTCTTCCACCTTCATGCTGTGGCAGAACATGGTCAGATCTTCACATCTTCACATTCAGCCTCTTCTCTGTTCTGCTGAGAGGATGACCAATGTGTCTGGACTATTAATTTCATTCTGCTTTTCATTCCCAATGGACTTTCTCAATTAGCATCTTAACTTCACTGTTTTATTCCTCATTGTTTTGGACAGTTTTGCCCTCTGCTATTCGTAAAGGTATGTCCCCCTTCCTATCACGCTGCCATTCAAGCATCTCAGGAATCCAAGGAACACACATTCGTAAACAGGTTTGTGAGCCTCACCGAGTAGAATTTCTAAAATCAACCAAAATTGATAGATACCTGTTATGAGGTTGTGACCAGACAGACAAGGGAACCCAAAGATATATTAAGAAATGGAGAAGATGAAAACATAAAGACACAGAGGAGAAAGGAAAAGCATGGGAAGAAATGAGAAAGGGGAAGGTTGCTACAGTGTGAGGGATTTTAAAGTCACACACTGAAGTGTGTGTCATTTTTGTTTTTTAAGAAGGCATATAGCAAAAGCCAGGTGCAGTGTTGCAGGCCTGTAATCCCAGTGGCTCAGGAGCCTGAAACAGGAGGATCTTGAGTTCAAATCCAGCCTCATCATCATAGCAAAGCCCAAGTAACTCAGTGAGACCCTGTCTCTAAATAAAATACAAAATAGGGCTGGGGGTGATGCTCAATGGTTAAGCACTCCTGGATTCACTCCCCAGTACCAAAAAAAAAAAAAAAAGCACAGAGCATCTAATTTACAAGTTGTTTCAAAGGCGCTCAGTGCAGTTTCCTGATGAGCAGCAATGCAGAGGGGAGAGAACTCTGATGACCAGACCCGGAGGCCTAAAGACAGAGCCTGGTGAGTCTTCTGGTTATGACCCCGAGGAAAGCACCTCTCAGTTTCCCTGTCTGTAAAACAGGTATTACAAAGGTTTTCCTTCGTCCTGAGGCTGGGAGGGTGAAAGGGTACCCTGCTGTATGACCAAGAATGAGACGTACAGATTCGGCTATTAACAAGCTGTAAGTAAGAAAACACGTTGTTAGTAATTTTTAAAATTTGTTTTTTGTTGCAGATGGACACAATACCTTTATTTTATTTATTTATTTTTATGTGGTGCTGAGGACCAAACCCAGGGCCTCATGCGTGCTAGGCGAGTGCTCTACCACTGGGCCAAAACCTTAGCCCGAATTTTGGTTAACTTTTATAGCCTCGCATGAGCTCGGTGAAGAGGGAAGATGGATTCCGTGATAAATAATTCACAGGGAGACGGGGAAGATGGGGAGATGGCTTGTGCCTATGTATTTCCAAGTTTTTGGATATAAGAGAATGCATTTATGCATTTCTTATCTGTAAAAGAAAACCCAAAACACTGTTTAAAAAAATGACTGATTTATCAGAAATAGAGAAGACAGAAGAAACTGGCAAATGACACTATGGGATGCAATCAAACCCAGAATGTAGAAAAACTAGAAAGACAATTTATCCCATTTTTCAATAAATGTAATATGAAAAAGAAAAAAAATAAGAAGGGAGAGGTATTACATACTTTTGGGACCTACCAATTTAATAGAATATGTGGACTCTGGATTCAGATTCTAATAACTTTTAAAAGGACATTAAAGGGATAACTGGGTTACAAATACTGTCTGGATACTAGATTACCAGATGTTAAAAAAAGTTTTTTGTTTTTATTTTTGTATTAGGGATTGCACCCAGGGGGCCCAACCACTGAGCCATATCCCCAAGCCCTTTTTATATTTTATTTAGAGACACGGTCTCACTAAGTTACTCAGGGCCTTACTAAATTGCTGAGGCTGGCTTTGAACTTGAATACCCCTGCATCTCTGGTGTTACAGGCATGTGCCACCATACCTGGTGAAATTGTTCTTTTCAATTTCACTGTATTGTTATATGTTTTAAGGAAGAAACTTTCTGGTAGAGATACACACTGAAGTGTTTGTGGATGAGGAGACTCTTGTGATTTGTTTAACACAATCCCATGGAGAGGTACAAACTGATTAGTGTTGAAGCTGAGAGATGGAGAGACAGGGGTTCCTGTTATGTTTCTTTTGTGTATGCTTGAAAATATCCACTTTAAAAAAGTAAAAAAAAAAATGGAATAGATTCATGTAATGAAATTGGAAAGCTAACACATAAGTGGGAAAAAAAAAAGGCAACACATGTAGAATGTCATCCTGCTGCTCTGTTTTTAAAAATACACAACTGTTAACATACATGCCTACACATGCACAGGACACCCAACTTTCTTTCTTTCTCTCTTTCTTTCTTCTTGATATCAGAGATTGAACTCATGGACACTTAACTACAAAGTCATACCCTTAGTCCTTTTTATGTTTTATTTTGAGACAGAGTCTCACTAAGTTGCTTAGGGCCTCTCTGAGGCTGGCTTTGAACTTGTGATCCTTCTGCCTCAGCCTCCAGAGTGGCTTGAATTACACACGTGTGCAGCCTCACCGGGGACCCGACTATTAAACAGTAGAATTTACCTGGGGAGAAGAGCAGGGTTGTGGGGGAGGGTGGGTAGCATGGAAACTCTCACCTTTGTATTCTTCTGTATGACTAAATTTTAAAAACTCAGCATGTAAACAATTGTATATGCTTAATTTTATTGAAGAAATAAAATAAAAAGAAACATCCCTACTTACTTTGCAATGGCCTCATCCCGGTCCCTGATGGCTTTCTGAAGCTGCTCCTTTGGCTCCTTGTCCTCAGATGTCACTCTGAGTCGGTCCCTCTCCTCTTTCAGTGCAGTCATCTCCACACTCAGCAGTGTCACCTAACAGGAGACCAAAGAAAGATGAGTGTGATAATACCACTGCTGCTGTGCTGGCCGGGGTGACTTCCCTTCCAAGAGGGAAAAAGGACCCAGAACCTCCAGGCAGGCCTGGGTGTGTGGCAAGCGGACGGGTGTCCTCCTGTTGCCGCCTTGCTCCAAGGCAGGGCCCTTCTTTCCTGAGAAAGGAGCCACATGCTGGCATGTGACCTAGACTGGTCAGTCACTCCCTGCTCCTGGGAAGTGAGCAAGGCTGCAGGAGTGGGGATTATTCCCAAGGCAGCAGAATGGTTCTGCTGTCCCCTCCCCACAGTGCCCTCCTGTTTGGCAGCTGAGCTCTCCCACTTTTCTTCCCATGGGTTCCGTGAGCTATTAGTTAATTCTAATGCATTCAGAAGAAATTCCTGTTGTCAGCAACCAGAAACCCTGCCTGGTAGAGCTTCAGTAAGTGTGGGTTAGGCAATGAAGGGCGGGAGCCCCTTCTTCTAGGCTGATAGGATCAGAAATGAATTGGGATGCCTGACCCCACCTTCTTGTTAAATATTACACATACTTTGACAATTTTCCAAAGGCGAATCAGTTTATTCAGATCTGCCTCTCTTCCATATGGGGACAGATGTCATCTTTCAGCACCCTCTTCAGCTTTTCAGGTCTTGGGTCTAATCATCTTCAGATAAAATGAAACTGAGCAAAATCCCCAGGACTAAGGCTGAAGACTGAGCTCCCCAGACTGAAAAGGCAAGACTGCCTGCCCTAGGAGCACAGGCAGGGGCAGCCATTCTGGGAGAACTCAAGAGGACCCTGAACAATGAGCTGGGGTAGGAGGACAACTTGTTGCCTTGATGTTGCGATGGACTGTGAACTCTGGGGAGTCTGGTAGGTAACTCACTTTCGGGTGGGTGGGGTGGGGAAGACAGTTTAAGTGAGCAGGGCTCCAAGCCTAGGGGAAGTACAGGGGCAACTGCAGAGGCCGGGCTCGCACTGCCTTGCCCTGGGGCAGACAAGGTGCCCGGAGACACCCAGCCTCCTGCTAGTCAGCAGCAGGTTGGTTCTGCAGCCAGATGGATGGAACTCAAGACCCAGAAAGCACCTGGCAGAGGCAGCAGGACCTCCTTAGACAGGGCCTCAGGCCAGGTGGTGGTTCAGCCAGCTGTTTAAGGATCAGGGAAAGCCACATGCTGGGCAGGAAAGGCCTGCATTTAACTGCTCCACAGAAAACTCCAGAAGAACTTTTCAGAAACCCTAGATAAGCCAGAGCCCACCTACCTGCCTTAGGAGAAGGGGCAAGGGACTTTCATGTTCGAGCCATATATACTTTCCACAAAAATTAGGAAAACAAAACAAAACACCCAAAACTATTTCTACCACCAAGTTGTAAAGAGGATCAAATGAGCTTTAGTTTAGCTCACCAAGGGCCAGGGTGGGGTGGTGGGCTCCACTCTCTTCTCCCAGCCAAGGTGACATCAACAGTCATCGTGAGAATAGATCTGGCTTGACTACACATGGTCTTGGGTAACATCCACCCCCTAACCCACTTTTTCCAAATGAGGTGGGTATCTGCACAATTAAATGGTATCAAAGACAATGCCCTGAGGCCATGTACCAAGGGATGGATCTGCTCTTCCATTTAACAATTATTTGAGCGTCGCTATAGGCAGCCTTGGAATACGAAGCTGAACTGGCCAGGGGCTCTCTTGAGGAAGGGACTCAGGAGGGTTTCAAGGAAGAAGTGAAGCCTGCCCTGGAACTTAAAGGGTAAGTGGGTGGAGATAAGAAGAGGTGAGAGGAAGGTAGGTAGTGAGCTGGAGAGAAGGCCTCCGTGTGGGGAACCTGAGGAGTGTGCAGCTCTGCCCTTTTAGAGCTCATGTTCAATTGTGTTAACACAAAAGCGGGGTGGGGGGGGGTAGAGACGAGAGAGCAGGAGACTGTGGCTAGAGCGCAGCCCCTCTGTTGGCCACGGGGCCCAGGCCTCCCTGACCTGAGAATAGGAGCCAGCCACCTACAGGCAAGAGGCATCCTGTTTCCATGTCATTCTTCAGGAAGGTCATCCATCATGTGCAGGAAAGCACATAGACTGCAGCAAATGAATGCAGGTCTGAAACAGGGCAGGGGCCGGGACAGTGGAGTGGGAAGAGTGGAGAGCCTGAAGAGGAGGGGTCACCACCTCATTCTGGAGCTCCAGGACACTCTCTCCTGGGCTCAGCCTCCTTCTGGAGTCGCTGGCAGGCGTGAAGGACCCCAGTGAGGCTGCACTGAGCCTCCTACCCCTGGACTGAGCTGGAGGCCCCTGGAGGACTGGTTTTCACATTCTGCAGACTAATCTTAAAGACCCTCCTGCCTCCTGGCAGCTGCTCCACAGTCACTCAAGTGAGGGGGGCTGGGGCGGGGGGGGGGAGCACGGAGGGGTACCACTGGCTACTCACCTACACCCACATCTGACTTGTAGTTCCCAGGAGGGAAGAGCACTCTCACACAGGAGAGCAGCAGGCTTGGAGGATAGTTCATTCATCATATGAAGCCTGACCCTGGTCTAGGAGTTGTTGGCTAGAATCTTCGTCCCAGCCAACCCTGTCTGGGTAGGTCTGAAATATGGCAGGGGCCAGGAGAGTGGAATGGGAAAATGCTGAGAACCCCCAAAGGGTCCAGAGATGGCTCTGACTGCCCTTGTGACACTGTATAGTCTTGGACGGCAAGGGTCCTACACAGCCACTTTGTGTCCCTCAGAGTCGAGGCACACCGGTGGGCATGGCAGATGCCAAACTAACCCTGATGAGGAATGTCCTGCCTGCTGTGTTGGTCGCCGTTTCTAGGTCATTCTGGAACTCAATCTACACCTCAACTGCTGCTATTCTGGGATGTCAGCATGACTCCCATGGGACAGTTCTGGTGGATGTAGCATGGCAGAAAGGCTTTCTGCTTTGAGCATCTAGAAGAGATGACCTACAGGAGGAGAAGCCCAAGCTATACCCACATGAGACGTGAGTCCAGACAGCTGCTGGGTGAGCTATGTGAAGAGGGTCCACGGGAATTGCCTAAACTGGTCATTAGCTGAACTTGTAAGCAGCCTCCTCAGTGGAGATGGCTTCCTAAATAGTTTTGCATCTGACTCTTGGCAATCTGCTCTTTGCTTGTATTTCTGAGTGAAATAATGTCCTCTGGTAAATTTCTAGTTTTTATAATGCTGATAAACAAAACCCCCCAAACCAGTTAATACCAAAGAGCTGATAAGCAAACGCTTATTTAAAATAAATAGGCTGGATACAGTGTATGTGCCTATAGTCTCCACTACTCAGCAGACTGAGGCAGGAGGGTCTTGAGCCCAGGAGTGCAAGGTCAGCCTGGGTGATACAGATAGATTTTATGTCAAAAATTTTTAAAATTAGGGTTGGGGACACAGCTCTATTGATAGGGTGCTTGTCTTACATGCACAAGACCCTGGGTTTAAGCCAGTACCACACATAAAAAAAAAAATTAAAAACTTTTAAAAAGACAAAATAAAATAGAATAAAATATCATTTTATTTAACACAAAGAACTTTCAGATCCTACTCTGTCTTGCATTTTCTTGTTCCAGATTGGAAGATTTGTCCCTACATGTGAACTGCTCTCCCTTGCTCTGTAAGACTACCTGAGGATCTCGAGAGTTTAGGGAAGAGAATGTCTTTGGCTGTCCAGCTCACTCCCCAGGGTCTGGCCAGGAATAAACTTCAGCTTTAAATAGCATCTTCCTGTCTTTGTTCAGTTGGTAGAGTGCTTGCTTTGCAAACACAAGGCCCTGGGTTCAATCCCCAACACCACAAAAAAAAAAAAAAAAAAATTTTGTATTGTAGTGATGGCAATAGGGGGGTCTCCCACAATCTTTTTAAGAGGATCACACTGGTAAGATTACTTAGATGACCCACAAAGACAGTTTACTTCTATTCAGAAATTTTGAGTGTAAGAAAACTAAAGGAAGAGCTGGCCCCAATTCTGTCCCACAGAAACTTCACGGAGAAGGAAGGGAGGAGGACCCTTTGGACCAGGAAAGAACAGGGTGAGTCAGGCAGGGTATAAACCACTGTTTGCTGTGACCCCCAGCAGCCAACCCAAGGAGGACAGAACTGGCACCCAAGCATGGTCAAAACCAAGAGTCTCTATTTGTCTCATAGGACAGGCTTTAGAAGCTCTTCCTGGTTAGGACTGCTCCTAAGTCCTTTAAAATTTTTCAGACCAGACTATAAATGTCTTTCTCCATGTTCACTCCATATTTACAGAGATTGGAGTCATGATCAAACAGGAAAGGAACAGCACAGGCAGCAGAAAATTCCCTCAAGCTGAGGACCAGGTTCGCGGTGGTGACGGCACTCACACAGAGGGCCACAGCCCCTTTCCTTACCAAGGGGCTACGGGGAACACTGCAAGGGGCCTGGAAGCAGGGCTTTCAACTGCCAGCTGCACCCATCAGCCTGGCTCTGCAGACATGTCACTGGAGGAGTGGAGAACCGGCTGTTCTCAGTCCTACCAAGGGGACTGAAGGCTGAATGAGAGGACTGGTTTCCTCTGAGGACCCCCCGTTCACCTTAACTTCAGTCACAGTCTCCTGAGGATATGATGGAGGAGAGTTGATTCTCACACAGAAGTGGGGGAGCTGGGGGACCAGTGCACATTCCCCACACAGGCTGAGGGTGGGGTGCTCACCTGACTGTGGAGTTGCTGCAGCTCTTCTAGGCTCTGCCTCAGTTTACCCCTCTCCCCCTCCATGAGCTCCCTCAGGGCTCTCGAGTCCTCGCTGGTCTGCCTTATCTGTTCTTCTAAAGAGTCCTCATCAATTCTCCGGGAGCTCTGACAGCAGAAGCCAGCCAGAGATGGAAAGGGAGGGATGGACAATGGGGAGAGATGGAAAGGAGATGGAGGAGAGAGAAGAGATGGTGAGGGGAGGGAGAGAGGTAGTTAGGGAGAGAGACTCTTGAGTTCATTTCAAGACACAGCGAGACATCCATTTTCATTTCAGGCTTCAGGGAGAGGAAGCTGTGTGTGTGAATGGTGCGCTTGCTGACAGCACCCACCTCCCACAGTGACACACTCACAGAGACACAGCCTGGCCGACACCCCCAGGCTCATCTGCCACCTTCCTCTTACTCCACCCAGTAGAGGCAGAAAGACAGCTATTCTGCAGGGGGTGAAGTCTGAGAAGAAAGTTCTAGAGCTGGCCTGGGAATGCAGTCAGGGGGATCTCAGGAAGCTGAGGCAAGGCTAGTCTGCACAGAATGCACGTGTCATCCCCACAGGGAGCCACATCTGAAATTCTAAGAGGGCCCTGGCATTGATCTGTCAGCTTTTTGTGCTTGCTTACACTTTTTTGTTTTTCTGGTACTGGGGACTTAACCCAGCAGTGCTTTACCACTGAGCCATATCCCCAGTGCTTTTTTAAAAAAATTTGAGACAGTCTCTCACTAAATTGCTGAGGCTTGCCTTGAATTTGCAACCCTCCCATTCCAGCCTCCTAAATTGCTGGGATAACAGGCATGGTCATTGTGCCCAGCTTTTGCTTACATTCTTCTGGCAGAAGCATTAGGTCTTCTAAGCTTGCCTATCCTTAGCTCATCCCACCACCAGGACCAAAAGGCTAAGAAGAGCAACCTGATGTTTTTACCTGAATACTTCTTTCTTTTTGGTAGTGAGGAATGAATCCTGGGGGTGCTCAACCACTGAGCCACATCCCCAGCCCTATTTTTGTATTTTATTTAGTGACAGGGTCTCAGTGAGTTATTTAGGGCCTTGATAAGTTGCCAAGGCTGGCTTTGAACTCTTGATCCTCCTGCCTCAGCCTCCCAAACTGCTGGGATTACAGGCGTGTGCCACCGTGCCTGGCTTGATACTTATTTGTCTATTCAGTTTCCAAGGGAAATCCTCACACTTGAGGTGCCTGCAGGACAACTAGGAGCCTCCATTCCCTCGCACTTGGCCCCTCTGCCTGATCATAGGTACTCAGTGTTCTCAGATGTAACTAAGGGGAAGGAATTCTGACATACACTAGACAGACTCTGGTCCTGTGGTTGACATCACCTGCTGCATTAGGCCCACCCCTGCTCTCTCCTCTTACTGTGGGCTCCATGCCATCCACGATGCTCTGTATAAGCCTCTTGAGCTCATTGAGGGCAGTGCGCAAGCTGCCAGCTGGCACATCCTTGGCAGACGACGTTTCTGAAGACTCGTCCATGGAGGAGTCCGTGGACACAGCCGAGTCAGCGCTGTCATTTCCTCGAAGGTGTGAGCACAGATAGCGAACCTGGCAGTAGGCCTCCCAGAGCTGCAGTCTCAGCTGTGTCACAAAGAAATATTCTTGACTATGGACTCCAGAGAATCCTCGCCATCTTTGTCTACTATCTGAACCCAAGGACACCAGTTCTAGGAGAAAAGATTTTGGTTTTGTTTTCTAAAATCATCTGTACCAAGAAAGACTCATTTTAGGCCCACTATACCTACCCAGCCTGCCAACTCTCACCTGTCCTACTCTCTTTTTTGCCACTTCTTTTTAATCAGTCCTTAGTTGGAGTCAGGAAGTGACAGGGGAATGAGAGATTGTAGGAGGATGAAACACATGAAAAGCAGCCAACTGGGTGGAGTAAGGTTGAACCTTAGTCAACAGCATTTCCTCAGAGTACGAGGTGAGACCTCGTACAGGTGTGTCTCTGCCTCTGACACTGTTCTCTGGAAGCTCTGCTCAAGGCTTTGATGGATAGGTATGCGGGAACTAGAGGGTTGGGGACAGAATTCAGTTAGGGCCCACCTCATACTGCCCCAGCCTGCAGGTCTAGGGGCCTTCACCAAGCGACAGCAGAGTGTTGGGAGGACGGGAAGTCAGCACCTGCTCTCTCTCCTGCTCCAGCTCCTCAGCCTCCATGCTCTGCTCGATCTCTGACAGGAGGGATGCGCTGGTGGCCGCAGAGCTCTGCAGACTCCTCTCCTCAGTGAGCTCCTCCACCTTCACCTGCAGCTGTCGGTAGGAGAGCCGCACCTCCTGCAGCTCCAGCTGGCTTTGGTGCAGCTTTCAAGGAAAGAGCAGAAGCTAGCGAGGCTCATCCCAACCAAACCAGCAAGAAGTGTCTGAGCCTGCACACTTCTAGAACCAACCCACAGAAAAACACAGAGGTATGAGGAGTGGAGCAGACTGCACCGGGAGGCCACCAGCCAAACCCAGAGCTGGCAGAGCTGGGAAACTCCCCAAGACAAAGAGCTCCATTTCCTCAATGAAGCAAAAGAAGGAAACTAGAAATTTCAAGCGGCATATCAACCAAATGCAATGTGTAGGCCTGTTTTAGTTTGTCTTTTCTTGATTCAAACAAAAAATATAAAAAATTATCACATTTATAGGACAATTGGAAATTTGAACATTCACTGGATTTTTTATGATAAGGACATACTGTTAATATTTAAAGATATATAGTATTGGGGTTTTATATGTGTGGGTATACATATATATTTTTTAATATTTATTTTATAGTTGGATATTTCACTCATTTATTTTTTACGTGGTGCTGAGGATCAAACCACATATATTTTTTCAGTGAAAAAAGTATCTTCAAAGTACAAAAATTATAATTTATAGTTTAAAGATCTTCATTGGCTTTATTCTTGATTCTAGGATCAGGTAACACTTCACTCTGTAAAATAGAATAAGTGTTCCATAGAAGTATCTTTTATTTAAAACTACACTTATTGAAATCCTGGGACTAATTTCCAAGCAATAAAAAAGGAGTGACATCATGAAGCGGGAGCAGCCCAGCTGGAGCTGCTGGTTGTCAGAGCCGGCGGCAGAACACACGAGCTTCAACACACTGCTCCTCGGCTGGGTCTGCGGAATCCTCCATAATGAAAGATTCAAACACACCTCCCAAGTAAGATGCCATTTTGGGGCTGGGGTTGTGGCTCAGAGGCACAGCACTTGTTTAGCACGGGTGAGGCACTGGGTTCGATCCTTAGTAACACATTAAAATAAAAAAATACCAAATGTTGATGAAAGAGTGGAATAATAAGAACTGTCACTGCTGGTGGGAGTGGAAAACGTATACACACTTTAGAAAAGTGCCTGGTGGTCTTTATGATCCAGCAACTCCACTCTTGGTTGCACACCCCCAAATATAAAATGAGGACAAGAGACAGACACAGGATATCACAACAGTCATGACTTGGAGAATATCCAAATGCTAGTAAAAACAGAATGGATAAATTGTGGTATGTCCATATGTTGGAAAAACATATACAATAAAAAGGAACAGGCTGCTACCACAGACCACAACATGGCTAGAAGCCAGACATAAAAAGTACATAATATAAAATTCTGTCATTAAAAAGCTTCCATTAGGGGGCTGGAGTGGTGATCAATGGTAGAGTGCCTGCCTAGCATGTGTGAGGCACTGGGTTCGTTTCTCAACACCACACATAAATAAATGAAATAAAGATCCATTGACAACTAAAAGATAATTTTTAAAAAAGTTTCTATTAAAAACTTCACTGAGATAGATTGAACTTGAGCAAGAGGCTGGCTTTTGAGGAAGGGGCAGGGTATTGCTTGTGGGGAGGTGATAATATAAAAATTCAGGGGGAAAAAATTCTATCTTTTTTTGGTGGGGTGGTACCAGGTATTGAACTCAGGGGCACTCAATCACTGAGCCACATCCCAGCCCTATTTTGTATTTTATTTAGAGACAGGTTCTTGCTGAAGCTGGCTCTGAACTCGAAATCTTTCTGTCTCAGCCTCCAGAGCTGTTGGGATTATAGGCATGTGCCACCACACTAGCAATATTTTCTATCTTGACCCAGATGTGGGGAGGGGGTTATCAAATGTACATGTTTGTAAAAATTCACTTGACTATCTACTTAAGGATTTGTATACCTTACTATATGAATGATATGTTTTCATGAAAAAATTAAGGAGAATAAAGGTAGCTTGGACAGGAGCAGGGGTGGGATTTGGAATAACATGTAGGCAGTGATGCCAAAAGCTTTGCCCCATGGGAAAAAACAGTATCTTCCTGTTCTCAGTGTCATACCTAACCATTTAAAAGAGGCCCTAGGGCAGAGGGCCAATCTGCCTCATTCCCGTATGAGGGATTGAGCCACAGGAGAGGAGAGCTTTCCCAATACCACTGTGAGGTACAGCTGGACTTGAGACTCCCAGTCAGGGCTCTCACTTTCCACACACTTTGCTTGCTTGCCTCCAACAGATGAGCAGTTCCTTAAGTCTGTCTTAAGGATCTCTGAAGACGAGGTCCCATAGTTTCACTTCTAACTAACACTTACGGGCAGAAATGTCCATCACCTTAGCCTGTCTAACATTAGTCCTGCATCCTGTACAGTAAGCTGTTTGCTCTTTCCTGGTCCTTTTCTTTCTTTTTGTTGCACTGGGGACTGAACTCAGGGCCTTGTGCATGCTAGGCAAGTGCTCTACCATTGAGCTACATCTCTAATCTTTTTTATTTTTTTGAGACAGGGTCTTGAAAGCCCAAGGTTGGCCTTGAACTTATGATGCTCCTGCCTCCGTCTCCCAAGTAGCTAGATTTATAGGTGTGCCCCATTGTGCCTGGCTTTTCTTGTCCTTTCTGAAGACTGGAGAGGGTTAATAATTATGTAGAGATGTTACTTTTCAAGAGCTTTTCAAATAGCTTCCATTTTGCAAGCCAAATATTAGATATATAACCTCTGACTTTTCCCATAGATTGCTTTTTGATTTATAAAACAGTTCAGAGATTTTCCCGTAAGCCTACATTTTTTAGAGCTGACAAGGCCCCAGATATCAATGAACCCAAGCATCTCATGTTCCTGACAATGAAACTGAGGCTCAGAGAAAGGAAGGGTCACCAGATGAAGGGAGGGACAGCCATGCAGGGTCCACAGCTTCTGGCAAGGATCCTCCTTGCTCTCACCACCACTCCTCTGGCCCCTCCGCATTCTTCATGGAGTCCACACAGGGAACCATGCTCTGGTGAAAGTTCACCCCTCCTGCACAGGAGGGACCACCCAGTCATCACTGCTAAGTGCTGCCCTCTTCCCTGTGCACTCCTCACACAGCAGTCCCTAGCTGCAGAGTCCTCGCCAGTGTGCTAGTGGCCAGGCACAGGGACAGTGTTTTGTACTTATCACATTCACAGATTCATGGACTGCACCTCCCCATACCTTAAAAGATGTTTTTTCTGGGGACTGGGAGAAGAACTTCCTGGGGCCATCTTTGTTCCATTAAAAGGAGAAGAGGGCTGGGAATGGTCTGCACACCTGTAATCCCAGTGACTTGGAAGGCTGAGACAGGAGGGTCTCAAACTCAAGGCCAGCCTCAGTGACTCAGCAAGACCCTAGGCAACTTAGGGAGACCTTGTCTCTAAATAAAAAAGAGCTAGGGATGTGGCTCAGTGGTAAAGTGTCCAGGGTTCAATCCCGTGTGTGTGTGTGTGTGTG